TCCCCAGACCCAATGTTAAATTAGTAAAATATTAGTAGATTTAATATTGACTTCTAAAATATCTCTAAGTTTTTCCTCATATTCTTATAATCCTAGGATCCCATAATTTCATTTATAAAATACCCCGAAATTGTCATAATTGAATTCCTAAAATACCCCAAATTCCCATAGTCCTATTTGTAAAATATCCACAAATTAGATTATTTTTAGGTGGTTGCCTCGAGTGGGGAAAATTTGGGGATTCCCCATTCCCAATGGGAAAGGGACAGGGTTTGCACATAATTCCCAAAACCCAATTCTAAATTAGTAAAATATTAGCATATTTAATATTGACTTTTAAAATATCTCTAAGTTTTTCTCATATTCTTATAATCCTAGGATCCCACAATTTCATTTATAAAATAACCCCAAATTGTTAAAATTCAATTCCTAAAATACCCCAAATTCTCATAGTTCTATTGTCAAATATCCACAAATTAAATTATTTTAGGTGGTTGCCTCGGCGGAGGGAAATTTGGGGATTCCCCATCCCTAACGAGGAATGGGTACCTCGCCTCCAACCCTTTCCGCCACCGAGGACGAGGTGGGGGATGGGGTAGAGTGTCTTGACTACAAGGGCAACGGAGAGGGAGAGGGAGGGGTGCCGCATCTTGTTCTTTTGATAATTACTTTTGTGCTTTTGATAATTTTTTAAAGTTGTAATATAATTTTGTTATTTAATCTATTTTTTGTTTTTGAAATAATACGTAAGATACGATTTAGTTATTAATATTTTGATATTTAAATTATTTAAAAATTATTTATTTATAACATTATTTAATTATTTAAATAATACCATTATTTAAAATYTTAAAATATTAATTTTTTTAAATTTAATAATCAATGAAATTATAATTTATACTATTATTACATAATTTTGTTATTAATTTTGTAAAATATAAAATTATTATTAATTCAAAAGCTATAAAATCTATTATAATTATTATTCTACTCTTAAGAAAAATTTTTAAAATTTATTACATAATTTCGTTAATTTAACTATTTAAAATTTATTTATGATAACATTTCATTATTTAAATATTTAAATAATATGCAAAATATTTAATATTTTTTGTTACTTAAATTTTATTTCTTAAAAGTTATTATGTAGTTTTAAATATTTTGTTACATAAATATTTATCTATTTTTAATATTTGTTATTTAAATATTTTTTGTTTATGTTTTAAAATATTATTTAGTTATTAAATTGAAAAATCCATAAAATCGTAATTTATATTGTCATTGCATAATTTCATTATTAATTTTATTAAAATATAAAATTATTATTTAAAATATGAATATTAATTAAATAATACCATTACTTAAAATTTTAAAATATTCATTATTTATTAAATTTAATAGTCAATGAAATCATAATTTATACTATTATTACATATTTTCATTATTAATTTTGTAAACTAAAAAATTTTTATTAATTAAAAAGTTATGAAATTTATTATAATTATTATTCTACTCTTAAGAATTTTTTTTTTAAGTTTTATTACATAATTTCGTTATTTTAACTATTTAAAATTTAGTTATGTTAAACATTTCATTATATAAATATCTAAATGATATGTAATATTTAACCTTTTTTGTTATTTAAATTTTATTTCTTTAAAGCTATTATGCAATTTTAAATATTTTGTTACATAATTATTTATCTATTTTTTTATATTTTGTTATTTAAATAATTTTTATTTTTGTTTTTAAAATTTTATTTAGTTATTAAATTCATTGTATAATCCACAAAAATATAATTTATATTGTTATTACATAATTTCAGTATGAATTTCATAAAAATATAAAATTATTAATAATATAACTATCATTAAACCTATTATAATTATTTTTTATGTTTTTAATAAATATTTTAAAGTTGTTAACATAATTTTTAGCATAATTTCAGTATGAAGTTTTCTTTAGATAGATATAG